AGTTTAAATGTGTAGTATTTGAACCGCCCCAAGATTGTGTTGTAAGGTAAAATTGATCATGGTTAATTTAGTAAAAAAATGTTTTCTTCGCTACTGATGTTTCTGCGGTTGAATATGCTTTTTAGTATCAAAAATTATTAGAAAACATTACCAAGAAACTTGATACCTGTTTATGATTATACCTCCGAGACATTGTCGAGACATTATTATCCCAAAATTACCTCAAATTAATGTGCTAACCTATATTATAATCAAAAACATACATTTTCTAATGATCTTTGTATATTGAAAAACTATCTTAAACCAATTAGTCTTACTTTCTTTTTTCGTCTGTTGACCCTGCTGATGCAACAATTGAGTGTCTTCCACAAATCATATTTGTTATTCTATGCTTTTGTGAACTTGGGGTATTCACACTCAAACAAGACAAGGTACAAACATTTCCTTTATTTATAATAATAATAATCTTTATAATGTTATTGGTAAATTTTATATAATTGCTACAAAATCTACTAATACTGTAGTTGCGGACTCTCGTCAAGCATATGGGGAACGATTGGAATTTTTTGACGTCTACAGTAGAACGTACAATTTTGCAAAAGGGTGCAGTACGTGGAAGACGTCTTACAGTTTTATTTGCTAGTAATGATACAATTTTATTAAGATATATTATTAATGTTATAGTTTAAGAGTTAGCCACAGTTTGGCGGTGTTTATCAATTCTGTATACATACTCTTTTTGGACTGGAATTCGGACGAAAACTGTTTCAAAATCTCATATGAATTTTAGACGAATTCTTAAGAAATTCTGAACGAATCTTTTTCATTTGGGTATGCATACGTCGCATCATTAAAATTAATAAATCCCTTAAAATATTGTGTAAAAAATTTTTTTTTGTAAAAGTTAGTAACAATTCAATTTTTTAATAGTGCTAAATTAAATAATTTTTTATCTTGAGTTCCACTTGACAGATTTAAAAATCAAAAAAGTTTTTTCTTCATCTTAAATTTACAATATTTTTAAAGAAAATCCTATTTATTTTTCCTTTGCACACGATTAAAATCAATTTAAATTAGTCTAGCATGACCACTAGACAAACAATAATGCTGAATACTATTTATTTAAATTGGTGCAAAGAATTTTAATTAACAAATAGATAACTTTGGTCCTTCTTTATAAAAAAAATTGTTTTTTTGCAGGCATGTTTATTTAACGGGACCCACACCCGAAATTTCAACTATAACAGAATATAATTGAAAAAATTTTGTATACTTTTTTTTAACACTATTTTGATTCAGAAATAAGGTGAAAAAATAGAAAAAAATTTCATGATTTTTTCGGAAATTAAAAAATTTAAAAAAAAATTTTTTTTGTAACTTTTGACAAAATTAAAATTTTACAAAATCCATGCTCTTAAATATAAAATAGAGTGTAAGAAACTCATTAAAACAAAAACCATGAAAAAATAATAAAATATGTGAAAGAAGAAGCATTTTTTATAAGTGTATGGTATAACATTTCGGTGTTATACCATAAACTTTTGACAAAATTAAAATTTCACAAAATCCATGCCCTTAAATATAAAATGGAGTGTAAGAAACTCATTAAAACAAAAACCATGAAAAAATAATAAAATTTGTGAAAGAAGAAGCATTTTTTTGTAAAATAATTTTTAATGTTATACCATAAACTTACAAAAAATTTTACTTCTTTCACAAATTTTATTATTTTTTCATGGTTTTTGTTTTAATGAGTTTCTTACACTCCATTTTATGATTAAGGGCATGGATTTTGTGAAATTTTAATTTTGTCAAAAGTTACAAAAAAAAATTTTTTTTAAATTTTTTAATTTCCGAAAAATCATGAAAATTTTTTTTGTTTTTTTCACCTTATTTCTGAATTAAAATAGTGTCAGGAAAAAAATATACAAAATTTTTTCAATTATATTCTATTATAGTTGAAATTTCGGGTGCGGGTCCCCTAAGAAATCTATATCTATTTTAGTAAAAAATGATTTTCAAGTTAATAATTACACAGCCACACAAAATAAAAAAAGTGTCGGGGTTGGAAGATCAGAGTACAGTCAGTCCCCGCAACCTGCACAAATTGCAGAATTTTTCCTTTCCCCCGAACACGCTATCTGACCGTCCAGTCAGCCGCTCTCCCACCATTCATTTCCCACCACTTTCAGGGATATATACACCCTTCTATCGCATACAATTGTGAGTATGACCACATAGCGAGTTTGGTCTATGTCGTCAAAGCGTCAGGTTTCGGGGATGTGCAGGTTGCGAGTTACGCAGGTAGCGGGGACTGACTGTACCCTATCCCTATGTACTTTGGACCGCTGAACACGAATCCGGTGTCCGTTTTGGTCCAGCACGTGTACGTTTTTTCCTAACCTCAAAAAACATGTCAAATTTTTTGTGGTATACAAATTTTTTTAAAAATTGATGGATTTTGATAAAACTTGGTAGCTAGGTGTTTTTGAGGTTGCTGATTACGAATATGAAGTTAGATTTTCAAAATTCAAAATGGCGGATCCAAAATGGCGTACGAAATTTTTTAAAAATTGATGGATTTTGATGATACATGTTATCTAGGGATTTTTGAGGTCGCTGATTACGAATATGAAGTCAGATTTTCGAAAATAAAAATGGCGGATCCTAAATGGCGGATGAAATAATTTAGAAATTAATGATTTTTTAGAAATTTTCGTAAAAGTTGATGGATTTTGAAAAAACTTGGTACCTAGGGGTTTTTGAGGTCTCTGATTACGAATATGAAGTCAGATTTTCAAAATTCAAAATGGCGATTTTCGCTACAATTATGAGATTGTATGTCAATCTCAGGTTGTTTTCTTGTAGTATTGTACTCTATATCAGCCAAGTCACCAACTAAAGTAGAGCTGCGATTGTCACCGCGTGGAGGTGCCCTGGATGCAGACACAGGTAAGGTGTAATAAAATACGACTGCCAGTTGAATCTTGAAAACCCCACTTCAGATTCGCTATCAGCAACCCGAGTAGCTACCAAATACTAAGATTCATAAAAATGCAACAGATTTTCAAATTCTCATCATCCAATTTGATTTTTAAAAATCTAACTTCATATTCGTAATCAGCGACCTCAAAAATCCCTAGATAACATGTTTGATCAAAATCCATCAATTAAAGAAAAATTCTTCCGCCATTTTGAATTTTGAAAAGCTGACTTCATATTTGTAATCAGAGACCTCAAAAACCCCTAGGTACCAAGTTTTATTAAAAACCATCAACTTTTAAGAAAATTTCTAAAAAATCATCAATTTCTAAATAATTTCATGCGCCATTTTGGATCCGCCATTTTGAATTTTAAAAATCTAACTTCATATTCGTAATCAGCAACCTCGAAAACCCCTAGCTACCAAGTTTTATCAAAATCCATTAATTTTTAAAAAAATTTGTATACCACAAAAAATTTGACATGTTTTTTGAGGTTAGGAAAAAACGTGCACGTGCTAGACCAAAACGGACACCGGATTTGTGTTCAGCGGTCCAAAATACATGAGGATAGGGTACTCTGATCTTCTAACCCCGACACTTTTTTTATTTTGTGTGGCTATGTTTTCATTGTTGTTGACAATTATATGAACAATAATCAAGGACATAATATGATTGTACATATGATATAAATATTTTAAGTTAAAAAAAATGACGAAAATGTTCACAAATGTAAAAGAAACTTGATTATTGTTTATATAATTCTCAATAACATTGATAACTTTTAAATTTAAAATAATTTTTTACCAAAATAAACATAGATTACTTAAATAAACATAAATTTGTCTGCAAAAACATCCATTTCTTATAAAGAGGGACCAAAGTAACTATCATGCCTCCACAAGAGAGTATTTCGCATTTAAAGCAATCTGGAAAATACACCCTGATTCTTTAATGCCTTCCTTCCGGTTTTGACGCCATTTTAAAAAGTCGTGACATATCTATCAAAATTTAGTTACTTCGTGACATATGAACGAACTTATACGTCACGAACTAACAACATTTTTATAGACGTATCACGACTTTTTAAAACGCTGTCAAAACCGGAAGGAAGGCATTAAAGCACAGGGGCGTATCCAGGGGGGTTGGGGTTCAACACCCCCCCCCCCGAAATTTTGGAAAAACATATGTTAAAGCCTAAATTTCTAATTTTATTCTGAGTACACCTCTTATCAAATTCCATAAAACCTCCTACGAAATTTTTTTTTGGCTACGCCCCTGTTAAAGCATCAGGGGATGAATTAATATTCACTTTTACCCAGAGACATCCCTATCGTAAAAGATCCTCTGTCTGTCTTTTAAAAGTAGCGCTTACACATTAAAATCTCATTTTCACTTTCTTCTCTTGGCTTGAAGAGACTATTATTTATTATTAAAAACTTATTTTTTTTAGTAAATATATATGTCACATTGTCTACTTTTATATTAACGTCAATGATGCCGATTGTTCTTGATTTTTTTATTCCGTTGAATGAGACTCGTCCAAGATACTTAGTTTATACAGGAAAATTTCCTTTGGATGAAGAGAAATATTTTCCTTGGCTGATGGTCCATGGCTGTATTACTGCTTCATACAATTCGACAGTATTGTTTAGTTGCGAGTCAATGATCGCAGTCACAACACAGCATGTTTGTAGTTTGTTTAAAATTGTCAGGTGAAAAAGCTAATTTAGAAAAATTTTCATTGATATAAGAATTAACCTATTTATTAATAATCCTAAAATAAAAACATTCAACATTATTTTTTATTTCCGATTAGTTATAAGTTACAAAACGCAATGTTGCTTTCGAACAAGGAAAAGAACTATAACAAGACAGATGATACTTATTATAAACAGTTGACATCTTGTATTAAATGGCACAACCATGCAATTCAGTAAGTTGTAAATTAATATAATAAATAAATGACGTATAATCAGATAACATAAGAATAATTACAAATTATTTTTTAGATGTTCAAAGATACTGAACTCTTGCTTTTCGCCTTTTCTATTTTGTTCAGTGGGTTTAAATGTTATAGCCATCAGTTCTTTACTAATTCAAGTAAAATTTATTCCTTTTTCTTTATAATATGTGACATAATCTGGAAAAAGGGGGTTTACGTGCTAATAGAAGTTTTTGAGAAAATTGCTGTTAACGTTAAATAACTAAGTTTTGTCAGTTATTATCAATTATTATTTTGATAATTTGTTAAGCGGAGGCTTTTGGGAATTCGATGACAGATTTGAAAAATTTTAAATAGTGGATTTAATATTGAGGAGATATTTAAAAATCCAATAGACTCCAATGAAATTCATTATTTGGGGATTTCACTAGTTAACTTTTTAAATAGTATATTAAGCAACAAGAGGATAAAGGCAGCCAATTTTCTTATACAGTAATATGAATCTAAATAAACAAAAAAAGTGAATTTTTCAACTTTAATTGTAATTAATTCTTTAATTTTCAATAGAATATATACTTTATATACATCAATTGATTCGTCTTGATGCAAAGAATAAGATTTTTGATTTATTTTTTAATAAATAATAACATTTTATTGTACAGCAACATGATTTTTAAAAAAATGAATTTTATTAAAAGTGCAAATTTTTTGTCTATAACACAGCCCCACAAAAAAAGAAAAAAACCCTGCGCAAAAGCCCACAGTACCATACCCCTATGTATTTTGATGCGCTGAACACGAATCCGAAGTCAGATTTGCTCCATCACGTTAGGATTTTATTCTAACCTCAAAAAACATGTCAGATTTTATGTAATTTATGTAAAACACAAAATTTTTTTAAAATTCATTAGATTTGTCTCAAACTTGTTTCTTGGGGGTTTTTAAGATCGCTGATTACGAATCTGCAGTCAGTTTTTAAAAATTCAAAATGGCGGATCCAATATTACGGCCAAAATTTAAAAATTTAGTGGATTTTCACTTTACTTGGTATATAGGGGTTTTCGGGGTCGCTGATTACAGATTTGCAGTCAGATGTTAAAAATTCAATATGGCGGATCCGATATGGCTGTCATTTTTTTGAAAATTTATTTATTTCGCTTTAAAATGGGTAATCAGTGGTTTTTCGGATCACTGATAACAAATCTTCAATTAGATTTTGAAAAATCAATATGTCCGTTTGAAAATAATGTAATTTTTATTTATGTCTGTTTATGGTAACGGACTCGTTTGGCTTCGAAAGACCTGTGCAGTAGTTTTCTTTTTAAGTTTACTCTTCCTGGAACAATATCCCTTTTTAGCATCCAACAATAGTCAGCCATCATATTTACGTCCCATCTGCCTTGATATCTGCTCACCATTTCATTAATATCTTGATGAAACCGTTCTCCCTGTTCCTCGCTGTAGTCTCCTAAATTTTTTGGAAAGTAACTCAGATGTGAATGTAGGAAATGGAGCTTCAAACTCATCAAGCATCCCAATTTTTGAAAGTTTTTGATCATACCATTCACTATTAGTTCCCAATTCTCGCTCTTATGGTTGCCAAGAAAGTTTTCAATAACTCCCTTAAAACTAAGCCAAATGCAGCTTTCTCTTTTTTACTCATTACTGTGATAAATTTTTCATCTTTTACTAGTTTGCGAATTCGAGGCCCAACAAAAATTCCTTCCTTTAATTTAGCATCAGATATCTCTGGAAATTTTTGTTCCAGGTACTTGAAACATTTCCCTTCTTTATCTAAAGACTTTACAAACTGTTTCATTACCCCTAGTTTAATATGTAAAGGTGGTGGAATTGCCTTTGTAGGATCAACTAGAGGTTTTTTTATTTAATATTTTTGAAACCTGGTGTAAAGGATGTTCTTTTGGTCCATTCTTATTGTACGTAATGTTTTTTTCGATCTCTACTGTCCCACAAACATAAAAAGCAAGGTGTTTTTTTTTGTAAAACCTGCTTGTTGGCCCAACATGATACTTATAATTTTAAAATCTCCACAAATTTGCCAATTGTGTTCTTTATATTTAATTTTCTCCAAAACTAATTTGACAGTTTCATAATCTTCTTTAAGTTCAGTGGAATGGGCTACGGGAATTGAAGCAAAAACATTAGTGTTATGAATTAGCACTGCCTTTAGACTTCTTTTAGAAGAGTCAATGAATAACCTCTAGTCTTATGTTGATCTTTATATATGTTTGGTTTTAATTCATTTATTAGTCCTTCAATGTCAGAACAATATATTAATGAAAGCTCATCGTCTTTTGTAAAATATTTCCGAAATTCCTTTTCTCTGTCACGATAAAAGTAAGCTGTGGTGCCTTTAGATAACAAATTTTTCTTTTTTAAAACTGAAGCTAGATATCTAGCTGCATATTCTATTTCTGCATTTTTCTATCTAGCTGATATTCTGCTCCATTTTTGGGTAATTTCAAATCTCTGATGAGGTTGCTAAGTTCTTCTTGCGTAAAGCCTTCTTTAACCTTTTCTTCCTGATAACCATCTGGAATATAAATATCATCATTGTCTTCTACAATATTACTAATCGCATCACTTATATCGGAAAGTACATACTCTAATGGTGAACTGTCGATTTCCATATTTGCAGAAGAAAGAGTTAAATGACTTAAAATTTCGTGTTTTTTCACAGATACTACACATGCGTAAATTATATTCTTTTTATTATTTATTATAGCCTTTTACATTGGTCATGCAAAAGTAGCAATCTTCTCGATTCAATGGTTTTTTCCACAATGTTGGTTTTTTAAACTTCAGGTGTTTATCCTCTTTCGTATCATTCCAACGAGTTAACATTGTGTAGCAGGAACTGCAGATTGTATTTGGAACCCATTTTTCATTCTGATTGACTATCTCAAAATCAAAACAATCTCTGTAAATTTGTTTAATGTTTTAATTAATTAATTTGCGATTTTTCGGGATATAAAATTGTCCGCATACGTAACAAAATACATCTGTGTTGCTGTCACATGTATGTTGTGAGGTTGACACTCCAAAAAGAACTTTTGAAGCGTTTGAAGTTTTTTTATTGTTTTGATTTTTGAAAGCCATGATATTTAGGAAAATTCCCGCACGCTGGGGATCCTGGTCCGATCACAGGCGAGTCCACCGTCCTAGGGGTGATAACCCTCATACCTCCCTAGGCCTAAGTATGAGAGCTTTCCGACTTTGACGAGGACATTATCAACTCGTCGTCGGACACACTACGGTATCATCCTCACACCCTAACGTCTCCCTGCAGGGAGACGCGCTGCCTTGCATGCAAGGCAGCGCGCCTTCGCTGGCTTCGTTACTTCGATAGACAGGAAGCAAATCTTTCTACACATCCCATTTCGGGGCAGTTGTCATCGCCTACTACATCTATCGAAGCAGCAGGATTAATAGACCTTTTCATTTAAGGAATCTGTACTGCGCAAGTGCGGAGTATATATATATAACTTCCGACAAAGTTTCGAGCACTTTTTGTACAAAATGCACAGTGCCAATAGTGAAAAGTAATTAAAAAATATTACTAATGAATGTAGAAAAAAAAATTAGCGTGTATTAAAAATGAGCAGTATCCCTGAGAAAAATAATCCACAAAGGAAAAAAATTGATGCACAAAAAAAATATTGTTTTGGGAATTGCAAAAGTGATGCTCGTTGCAAGTCTTATTTGACTGAAAATTATTACTTTATTTCTTTCCCAAAACCGTTTAACATTTAGAAAATAAAATATTAGGAATGAAAATATTCAAAGTAATTGCAAAACTTGTCAAGTATATCGAAAATAAGACCTTTGGGTAAGGTTATGTTCATAACATAACATAACTTTATTTACATGTAAACAATATAGACTTTTTCATAACGCAATCATAAAAATGGCGTTATTTGTCTCTCCGTAGGCCAATGTAAAGTTATTCTTTTTAGTACGTAGTTACGAAAATACTGCGAATGACAGTTCAGTTCAAAAAAGAGCTTTGGTTGTGCTTGTTCGAGTATTTTTGTAACGCTCGAGTATTTGCAATTCCGTCCAGAAAAGGCGTGATTATGTTTTCGTTCAGTTAACTACATTTACCGTGTCTTACAGCAGCAACACAGTATCTGTCAAATACTGAGAGTTTCTAACCTCCTTTTCGCGATCACTCGTGTGAAAAATTCTGTTTTTATTCTTTAATAAAATTATTTTTATTAATACGTCGAAGTACACGACTAGGTTTCGGGGGGCTTCGCCCCCCGACGCGTCCGGTGGCTTGAGGTATTATAAAATGCGATTCTTTGAAATGTCGAATATTATTATTATTCATTTAAGTTGGTTTTTTGTGGTCGGGGGGCTTCGCCCCCCGAAACCCCCCGCGCGATCAGCTAGTAAGTACGCTTGACAGTGATTCTGTGTTCCGAATCTTATGTGTGCGTTTCTCAACATTCTTTTCAGTTATATATTAGAGCTGTGCAAAATTCGAACCGAACCGAGTTTAGTTCGGTTTTGGGGCGCCGAAATGTCGAATGTCGAATATTCGACATCCGAACTGGGCTAGTTCGAATGTCGAATATTCGACATCCGAACTGGGCTAGTTCGAATGTCGAATATTCGACATTCGAACTAAGCTAACTCGAATGTCGGTTTTTCGACATTCGAACTGGGCTAGTTCGAATGTCGAATATTCGACATTCGAACTGGGCGACTAAAATGTCGAATTTTACAATTCGACATTTTAGCGTACCAAAACCGAACAAAACTCGGTTCGGTTCGAATTTTGTAGTAACTCGAATGTCGAATATTCGACATCCGAACTGGGATAGTTCGAATGTCGGTTTTTCGACATTCGAACTGGGCTAGTTCGAATGTCGAAAAACCGACATTCGAACTAAGCTAACTCGAATGTCGAATTTTTGACATTCGAACTAGGCGAAAAAATTCGAACAGTTCGGTTCGAATTATTTTGCACAGCTCTATTATATATGTTTTTCAGTGTCAACGCCTTTTTATGATTTTGTTATGAAAAGTATCGTGCGCAACACGTGTGGCGGCATTTTGGAACTCGCGCTTCTTTTTCGTAACTCGTCTCCGGTGAGGGCGCCTTCGGCGCCCTCACCTACGACTCGTTACGAAAACTTAGCGCTCGTTCCAAAAAGGCCGCTAGTTCACACTTGTTACGCAATGTACTGTTTTACCCTTTAAACACTGACTTCGGCTTTATAACCATATTTTTAATTGACAGCTACAGTATTTTTCTCTACCTGTTCATACATTAATTTTGCTTCTGGAATATCATTTTCATCGAGTTTTTTATTTGAATTGTTATTAGCACAATATACATTCTGACACAAAGTTGCTCGAAAATTTTGAAATCGCGCCGTCTGTCATGGCGTAGCTTCAACTTCCGGTCTTAAATGAAAAGGTCTATATTGTGCCAAAGCACAACGGAAATACAATACAGTATTATGTCCTAGCAGGCCTGCGTTCAAGAGAATAGTATTCTGCAATTGTTGAATTGAACTTCATCCAGAAATTATGCCTAATTCTCTAGAAATGTTCCTAGATGTCGTCTCGATAAATACATTTTAATTTAGGCATTCAGGTTACCAAAAATCTGCATTTCCTGCTGCATAAATGTTTACCAACAAACTTTTCGAAACTTTTAAATTAACCGACTCCCAAAATGCTTGCATATCAAGTCATATTGGACTAGTTGTTAGAAATTTTTGAAGTCTGATTTAAAATTTGTGATCAGCGATCCGAAAAGCCAGTGAGTACCCATTTTAAAGCAAAAGAAATCAATTTTCGAAAAAATGACCGCCATATTGAATTTTTAAAATCTGACTGCAAATTTGTAATCAGCGACCCCGAAAACCCCTATACATATACCAAGTAATGTGAAAATCCAACAAAATTTTTTAATTTGTCCGCCATATTAGATCCGCCATTTTGAATTTTTAAAAACTGACTGCAGATTCGTAATCAGCGATCTTAAAAACCCCCAAAAAACAAGTTTGAGAAAAATCTAATCAATTTTTAAAAAATTTTGTATTTTACATAAATTACATAAAATCTGACATGTTTTTTGAGGTTAGAAAAAAATCCTGACGTGATGGAGCAAATCTGACTTTGGATTCGTGTTCAGCGCATCAAAATACATAGGGGTATGGTACTGTGGACTTTCGCGCAGGGTACTTTTCTTTTTTTGTGGGGCTGTGTAATTGGTTTTAATTCTATAAACTTAAATACAATATATACTTTATATATACCAATCGATCCGTCTTGGTGCAAAGAATAAAATTTTAGAAATAAATGAGTAAGATTTTCTTATACGGCAACATAATTTTGCGGAAAGAACTCATTTTTTGATAAAAATGCAAATTTTTCAGCTTTAATTGTGATTAACTCTATAAATTCTCATACAATTTATACTTTTTATATACCAATCGATTCGTCTTGATGCAAAGAATAAGATTTTATTAGGTATATATTAACTTCAATAACCAACTTAAAAAAAATTTTTTGACAAAAAAATTTTTTTTAGAAAAAAGTCAAAAAAAAATTTGTTCTGAGAATTTTTTTAAGTCTATCAATCCATTTCGAGATATTTTTATGATAAATATACCTGGTAAATTTTAGCCAAATTCGTTAAAATCTCTTCGAGTTATCGTGTTCACAAAAATCGGGATCCACACACACACACACACACACACACATCCATACATACATCCGGACAATATAGAAGAAAATTTGTTAAAAGGATTTTTAAAAATTTTGTAAATTAAACGACTACAAAGCTTCCTCACGAGGAAGCAAAAGTAAAGTATGATTTCATTGTATGCCTTTCTGCCTTTACAATCTCCTTAACTTCATTACTAAACTTTATTACCGGTTTATTGACATCGATTCATAAATGTACATTTGGAAAGCCATCACTAATGCACAAACATAGCCTCGGCGTCAAACCTCCCGTTTGATATACCTCGATCAGCGAAAAACTGTTGCGATTTACAGAGGGTCACCCATCCAAGTATTAACTGCACTCAACGATGCTTAACCTCTGTGATCGCAACTCACGGGATTCCTCCAACCGAGCTATACCATCGGTCTTATATCAATATAAGTAATTAACGGTGTTCGATGGTCTCTGAAATTTCTAGATTATGTTCGACAAATAGTTATCACCTAACAAATACGGCACTGCCTGGTTTAAATCACGTGAAATTGGTAAACAATCATTTTCGATCGAGCTTTTCTCTGCACACAAGCACTTTTCGCAAAATCTGAATCCGAACCATCGACACAAATCTTCTTAATTACCCAAATCCAAAATATTTTTTTAAACCTTGAAGAAAAGCGGTTGCAAAATGGGAAAGGCCAGAGTAATGTAATACGAATCCTTTTGGCAGCTGAGCCTTTACGTCCCTGCATGATTATGCCCTCTAAGTGCAAATGGTTGGAACAAACGTCTTGCCGCCTGTCATTACATTACTTTTGTTGCTTTTGCATTTCCCATTTTGCAACCGCGTTTCTGCATGGATTAAAAAAATCTTTCAGATAATAATGTAGATAATAATGATAATAATGTTACCTAAGTAACTAAGAAGATTTGTGTCAATGGTTCGGATTCAGATTTTGCAAAAAGTGCTTGTGTGCAGAGAAAAACTCGTTCGAAAATGATTGTTTATTGATTTCACGTCATTGAAACCAGGCAGTACCGTTCTTGTAGGGCGACAAGTGTAGGTCGCACATAACCTACAAATTTTAGAGACTATCGAACGCTTTTAAACTTAATTGAAAATACCGTACCTAATTCTGTTTTAACTCTCAGGAACACAAGTCTTTTTTCGAACAAGAACCAAATTCGCCTGTTTTTACTTTAATACATATATACGAATTAAAATTTCCCTTTTATTGTTAATAACTTTTAAATTAATGCAATAATTAACAATTTTTTAATTGTAGACTTTGAACTCAATTAATGATTCTAATTTGGCAATTAAATACGGAACTTTTTGTAGCGCTTTTATGCTTCATCTATTTTTTTTAACGATACCAGCTCAAAGATTATTAGATAGTAGTTTATTAATTTCACAAGGAACGTAAGTATATTTAAAACGATTGTAAGGAATAATACCAGTCAAGTAACTATGTAATTTTACTATGCTACAATGCTACACGTAGGTAATTCTCGGGAAACAATTTTTGCAGAATTAACACCAGACTTTGTAGTATTTATAATAAGCAGCTTAGATTTTTAGCATTATTTGTAACGTAGCAGATCATTAGTAATAACGGAATAGCATAATCTCAAGTAGATTCTCACCGGAAGCATGAATATTCCACAACAACACAATTGTCATTCACCCGAATTGACATTTAACCTAATTGCCATGCATAACAGAGTTGACATTTAACACAATTGTCATGCAACATAATTGACATTTAACATAATTGTCAATCCTGTTAATTGTCCATGTTACATGTCAATTCTGCTACGTGACAATTTTGTTAAGGGGTAACACCACTCTAGAGGCAGAAAAAAGACCTATATTGGATGATGTATTTTGTGAAAATAAAAAAAAGGAATAGGATTTCTTTTTAGAGGGTTTATTAAATATATATTAAAAAGTAAAAAAAATTCTTTAATTTAAATTTTACTACAAAATGGTGGTGACAGATGCCGTATCAAAATAGACAATTTTTTTATTACCAAAACGGAAGGACTGTTTTCTAGAAATACAGTGCCGCTCAATAACTTTTGCCCACCCTACAGCGATTAAACACTTTACAAAAAGTTTTGTATTTTGTTTATTATTTTAGTTAAAAAGCTGAAAAAGGTCTTTTTTAAATCTCTTTTCCTAAGCTTTGACACTATATAAAACAGAAATTAAAAAAATTAATTTGTTAATGTTTAAAAAATATTATTGCAACATAAAATTTTTCAATTATTTTTTATTTTGGTTTTTTAAAGCGATACCGTTTTTTAGGAGATCATCGCATGTGAATCACACTTATATAATTTTAAAGCTAATTTTTAGTTTTTTGTAGTTTTTAGTGTAGATTACAGGAAAAATATAGTGGAAATGATAAGAATTGATCTTCATTGCGTTTTGAGCGAAAACCTAAATCAAAGTTTTTAAAAATTTCGTCAAAAATGCGTGTTTTTCACCCTAGCGCCCACAGTTTTTTATCTGAAGAGATGAAAATTGGTTATTTATTTATTTTCACCTGTAGATTACAGAAAAAATACAGCGAAAAATATTGGAGTTGATCTTTATTTTTCTTCAGCAAAAAAGTAGAAGTTTTAAACTTGGGTATTTATTTAATTATATTTAATAATTTTAACTCAGTAATCATTTAAATAACTTTTGATAATATAATTAAGTTTATTGTTTGTAAACTGATTAAAACTTATTTAAACAATTGCTTAGTTGACAATAATTACATAAATATGATAATAAATTTATTCCTTTGTTGTAGTGAGTAAAATTTGCGAATTTCTACAATTAAAACTTAAAAATATAAAAAATTGAAAAAAAAATTTTCAAAAAATAAGTTAAAAATTTTTTTTTTTTCAAAAAAATTTTGCATATTTTTTCTGATTCTACATGTAAAAATAAACAATTTATGTTCTTAAAAATTTTTTTTTAAATGAACCGTTTTTGAGTTATTAACAATTGAAAAAAATGGCTAATTTTTTAAACAAATAATCATATTATTCTTAAAAATTATCGTAAAAAATTTTAAAAAAATGCGTTTTAAAGGTGATAAAACTAGCTTTAAAATGATATAAGTGTGATTCACATGCGATGATTTCCTAAAAAACGGTATCGCTTTAAGAAAACCCCAAAAAATTGAAAAATTTTATGTTGCAATAACATTTTTTAAACAGTTTTGTGACGGCCTGTGAAAAAATTACCAATTTCTGTGTAAGAAAATGAGAGGGAGGGGTTAAAAAATTTTCAAATTTGAGTGACGTAATATGTGAATGATCCCTAAGAAGGATAACGTGGAGTGAGTTGCACCAGAAATGAATTTGGGTTCTGCGCATAGTAGTGATATATATATATCATCTGATGTAGCAGACAGGTAGTATGCGCAAAGCCCGAATTCATCTCTGGCGCAACTCATTTCTCGCCAACCATATTTCCATTTCTTGCACCTATCCAACTCATCTTGTATATAGTCTTCTTGAAACCAACTTAAGTTGGACTTGACTAGTATTATCTCTTGCAATTGCGGGATTGACAACTTCTTATTTCCAGCTTTTGACGTTGTAATGTATTTTTAAACTTAAACAGATATAACGGTGAATGGTATAATTTACCACTTCATGGACAAAAATTAATTGTGCCAATAATACTCCGAGGTCAAATACCTTCAACTTTAACTGTTGGGGAATTTTGTGACATGGATATGATTGCATTCGCAGCGGTGAGAGCTATAAATAATTTTTCTCTTAACAACTTTTTTATTTATAAGTTTTTGATTAGCAATTTCAAAAATTTGAGTAGCGCTCCACCGGACAAAGAATGAACTAATATGTATGTGGCGAGTATATATAAAACAAAAATACAGTTTTTACATACAAATTTAATTAATTAATTTTTTACAAAAAATTACTACGTATCAAATAATCTCTACGTCGTCTACAATATATATAATGTATAAAGATACTCTAAAAATTTGAAAACAATTTTGGTACATTTTGGGATAGATAATAAAGTACTGAATACGAAAATTTAATTGCTTTTAGTATACTCTTTCAAAAATTTGCATATTTGACGATTTTTATACGAGAATAGTGGCTTTACCCTTTAATAAAGAATCCTAGAGCTTTGTCTACTTCAGAATTCTTGTTCTGATTGGTCGATTCAAACCTTGTTTGCTAAGTTAATTTTGAGATTCTTCATTCTGCCGTTAACAAATATGTCTGAATAAGAAAATTAATCAATTTTAAGAAATAAATAACTGAACTCACAACACTGTGAACGTCTAACAAACACATTAGTACAGCATCTGACTAATAGAGCGCTAGTCGAACTTCTGCAATCGCTAATAGAGTTTCTATATGACTACCTCCACATCGTCATCGTCGGTATTTAGATAATCCAATATTAAACAAATAAACGTTTTGTAGTATTTATCTAACGTCCTATCACCAGATTATATAAATACCGACCGACGGTAGTGACGTAGTCACCCATTAACCCCTTCGCAGTCAAGACCAAAATCTCATAAGTGGGCTCAAAATGTCAACAGCTTTTTAGAAAACTAAAATTTGCGCAAACACGCAAAGTATTGTATTTTAACTCGATGATTACGAATCCGATATCAGATTTTGAAAATTCAAAATGGCGGATCCAATATGGCGGACGAGATATTTAAAAATTCACCGGATTCACTTGAAACTTTTTACTCGGGGGTTTCCGGGGTCGCTGATTACGAATTCGATATCAGATTTTGAAAATTCAAAATTGCGGATCCAATATGGTGGACGACATTTTCTAAAATTCATCGGATTCATTTGAAACTTGTTACTAGAGGGTTTTCACTCATTACGAAAAACTTTTTAAACGATAAAATCACCGACAGTTTGAGCCCACCTGCACCATGACGTATACACGTCATCGACTGCCAAGGGGTTAAAGAAAAACTCAAAATGTCTGGAAACTTTCCGCGGACTTTCAGCGGATTCTTGTTTGCAGAAAGTCTGGTGGTTTAAAAAATATAAAAATATGTTTTTTTAAGCTTTTAAAGACATCTATTTCTTATTTTACGGTCCTTTTATCCATGCGTTAATAACATTAATCAAAAGAAGAGATGAAATTTCTTAATAAGTATTTACATGTGACACCTGCATTTAGTAAAAGGTTTGAATATTTCCAATAGCTATTCTTTAAATTGTCAAAAATAGTTCAGCAATTATTGTATGAATTAAAATATTATTTACAAAATATTAATAATAAATATTACGATGTTATTTTGTTTGCATTTGTAATTTTAGTGAGATCTTATTTTGTTTTTTTTTAAATCCATTCATATAATTTTATTATTATTTATTAGCTTTTGCCCGTCGACGACAGGCATCCTCAGATAATTTTAAACTGAAATTACATACAATTATTAGTGAAATAAATATATCGAAAAATATCTAGAAGAACATAACCTATAACATAACCTATAACTTACCAAGAAGGTTTCTTCCCGGAAATTTACTAAATATATAATTCAAAAAAACACATCTTAATTTGTCAACAAAGACACATTTAAAAATAAATAATTAATTTAATAATAAATTAATACATTAATAATAAATTTTTAAATTTTCTTCTGTACATTATTATTTCAGGAAAACTTCCAAGAAACGTTTGTATTTTTATTTCTATTTAAAATATTACATATTCTCTTGTAAGAATGTATATAATGTCTAGATTTAAAAGCTAACCTGGATATTTAATAATATGAACATGATTTTCCCTCATTGAAAATGTAATCAACAAATGTAGGTTTCATAAATGTTTGAAAATAGTTTTATCCTGCATAAACACGATTCTCATTGTTTTGAAACACGCTTCCATGACTTCACACATGAACTTGTTTTAAACATAGAATTTGTAGTTACAACAGTGTTCAGAAAACACTGTTAGGGGGGAGTGAAACCTTTGAGGTGTCTTTTGAAACTGTTCTTCATTAATTTTTTTAAGACACAAGAATAAAGTAAACAAAATTTGGTTTCGAGAGCTTTATTTATTAATCGAGCATGAAACTATCTTTTGACACATTTTAGTATTTGATCTATGTTCATATAATAATTATAATAACATACACACACTATTATAATAATAATTATTATAAACATCTCCACGGATGGAAAGAGTGGTACGTCAGCGCAGCTTTACACGAGGTTTACAGAATCACTAATGATGCTCAACAACCACAAAAGATCCTAATAATAAATGCTATTTGCAACTATACAGTCAATTTAGCTCTCCTCCATTTACTGTCTTCATGGACAGCATAGTGAGAGGATACAATTTAAGGAAGTTTGACCTTATTTTAGTGATTGATCTTATTTCCCCATTTATTAAAGGAAAAAAGCTAATTTATAGAACTGGGATTAATCAGGTTAAAATTAAATGTATTCACATTCAATGCAGGGCGCTAATGATTCGGTCTCTTCGAAGGCACTGAAAAAAAGGGGATATAAAATGTTTATTCCTGAATCCTTTCTTAGAAAAAGAGGATTCACGAATTGGTTTTCAGCTAAACGGTTTATTAAGGGTATAATTCGGGTATGTGCGTCAAACATACTACGTAACATAGTTAGTATCAGGAGAGTTATGTACTCTTCCAATGTTACTATGGATAAAAAATGGAATTTTGCATTCTGAGGTTGTGATATTCTACCAATTGTAACCGGGAAGAAACAAAGAAAAAAATGTTCTTTGAATAAAACCCTAATGTAAAAAGGGTTGTGCATTCAAAGGAGGAATCTGTTAATGATTCTTCCCCTTTGCACTGAAAAAGTTTTGTGGGTTCAGACTCCCCAACGCGTGCGTGAAAACCACCAAAAAGAAAGTCCCTGCATAACCAACAGCGTGGTGATGACTGTTTCTCTCGTTGAGGGGTCTGACCAATTAGGATTAGGTATGTACAAGTCTCACAGCGTTGGTAAAGCAGTTCCCCGCAAAAGTGAGAACTCTCATTTCCCAAAATTTAGGAAGAGGGGAAATTGAATAGCTTTTAGAATTTTACGCGACAGTTCGTAGTTTCTGCAAAAAAGAAAAGCAGTGTTCGGGTATCTTAGTGTTCTTGGAAGATTCGTTTTGGAGTTTAGAAATTATTTTATTACAAGTAAGTAGTAAAAATAAGAACTAAAATTATTTAAATCAAGTGTATTGTTTAAAAGAATTAATTAGTGTTATATTCTTATAATAATATTCTTTGAAATATTGTAATATTTTTAAAAATTTATTGCAGAAAAATTTTACTTTTGTTTGTAGTTTATTGTCATAAATATTAAAAAATTAAATTATTAAACAATTTCAATAAATAAAATATAATATATATGTATACATATATATTTTTACAATTACAGTTTATAGATAAATATTACTTTATTTAATAAATATTGAAAAAATATTAAATGAATATAATAAAAGTAATAAATAAAATTCTAAAATATATGAAAATTTATCATTTTTATAAGCAATACATTTTCAAATTAATTACATTTTATGCAAAAAATTTTTGCTTATTTTATTCAAGTTCAAATACTGCATAATTTTATTCATTGAATGATATTTAAGGGGTTACGCCACCCTGAAATTTTCAAAAAAATTTATTTTTTTTTTTTGCTTAATTTCAAAGTTTATATTCTAACGAATATTTTGAGATGTCGCCGAAGACAATGTCTCACTAATTACAAAAGTTATGGTCATTAGAAGTCAGCGCGGTGGGGACGCGCCGAGAGCTGCTGGAAGCAGCGACTTTCTATTTTCGAATGGTCTAGGGGGCCCTTTCATGATTTAGGAAGGGTCCTTTTCATTGTATCCCTTCCATTCTTAAATAAAAAAAAATTATGGCCCAGGAATTGCTGATTAAATAGTAAATTGAAAAATTTTCAAGTTATAATACACTAAAGTTCATTTTTTTCTTCTTTTGCGTTTTTCTCGAAACCACAATTTTCGAGACGGTGTACACGATAACTCAAAAACTATTCAATCGATTGACTTGAAAATTAATATACATCTTCCTAAATAGATTTTCCACAGAGTGACGTGGGATTTTTTTGATTGAATAATTTGAAAATTTTTTATCCAATTTTTTATACGGTAATTTTAGCCAAAAAAAAAATGTCAATTTTTGAAGTGCTTCCATTTGCGTAAAAATTTTTTTTTTTTAAAATGGCTTCGTCACTCTGTTCAAAATTTATCACTTTTTAAGAAAAATATTGTTTTACTTGTTTCTGACAAAAATTGAACTGCCAATCATGTACACCATCAAGGAGTGCTCCGGAAAAATTGATCCACGCCAATAGTTATATCTCCGCCATTTTTAATTAAAAACAATTTTTTTTTAAATATTTATAAAGCTCAATATATGTACTAAAGCATCAATAAATGTAAAGAAGTCCTACCTGAAACAGTTTTATCAAAAAAATTCCTAAAAAACCATCCGATTTTCATGCGTTCAGGGTGGCGTAACCCCTTAATGTTAATCGAAAATGTTAGAAGAAATGGAAACGATGGACACAAATTTTGACCTTTATTTTAATAATATTGATATGAATGATAACAGTGAAACAGTTGTGGAAGGTAAAATACTTTTTTACAAATAATCTCAAAATAACACAGCCACACAAAAAAAAAAAAAAGTTCTGATCTGGGGGTCTCACTATGTAGACTTTATGTTTTTTGGGTCGCTGAATCCGAATCCGAGGTCCATTTAACCTCATCAGATCAGGATTTTGACATAACCTCAAAAAACCAATATGGCGGACACATTTTTGAAAAGTTCATTGGATTCGCTTCAAATTCGTTACTCGGGGGTTTTTGGGGTCGCTGATTACGAATTTGAAGTCTGATTTCAAAAATTCAAAATGGCGGACACGTTTTTGAAAAATTCATCGGATTCGCTTGAAATTCGTTACTCTGGGGTTTTTGGGGTCGCTGATTACGAATCTGATGTCGGTTTTTCAAAATTCAAAATGGCGGATCCAATATGGCTGACACATACATATTGGATGCGCCATTTTGAATTTTTGAAATCTGACTTCAAATTCGTAATCAGCGACCCCAAAAAACCCCCGAGTAACGAATTTCAAGCGAATCCGATGAATTTTTCAAAAACGTGTCCGCCATATTGGATCCGCCATTTTGAATTTTTGAAATCAGACTTCAAATTCGTAATCAGCGACCCCAAAAACTCCCGAGTAACAAATTTGAAGCGAATCCAATGAACTTTTCAAAAATGTGTCCGCCATATTGGTCTTTTGAGGTTATGTCAAAATCCTGATCTGATGGGGTTAAATGGACCTCGGATTCGGATTCAGCGACCCAAAAAACATAAAGTCTACATACACGGTGAGCTTGGATGAAATTCAACCCAAAAGTCATGACCCTTTCTGGTTTATTTTTGATATTATTTAAGTGATGTCTAATAATCATTTTAAGATAAAAATTAAAATAATCGTTGGAGGGAAACTCAAATTATATTGATTTTTTAATTTTTTTTCTAGGTTATTGTACATATTTTCTGAAGGATAATGTTTTAAACAATATTTATTGCTTGAAAAGATATCTTTTAACATTAAAAAACATTCTATTTAGTAAAAACAATATTTTAATATTTATAAAGCTAAAAAATTGTCGAAAAAGTGTGAATTTTTTCGTTTTTCTGAAAATTACTCTTTTATAAGTCATTAAACACTACTATTAAATAAATATACTATTAAATATATTAAATATATATACTATTAAATTAAAAATCGTTAATGGAATTTCGTTGAATTTTCTAAAATAAATGAACATGATTTCTGTTAGTTCAATAAAAAGTTTATTTATTTAAAATTGTTTAAAATTAAACTTTTTTAAACATAATTATTATTATATGGTTTTCAAGTAAGGTCCAGAAAAAAAGATTTCACCAAAGAAACTGGACTTAATGACAAATTTCAATTACTTTTTCATTAAAAACGAACTTTAAATCATCATATTTCTGTAACGACAATAGATAGAATAGTTTTTCTTGTTTAGTTTTCCAGGAAATTTTATGTACTTAATTTACATTTGCATAAT